CCTCTGAGAACTGCTTTCACTGTATCCCATAAATTCCGATAAGTTGTGCTTGAATTTTCATTGAGTTGTAGATATTGTTGAATTTCTTGTTTAATTTCATCTGTGACCCATTAGTTGCTGAGCAGGGTGTGGTTTAATTTCCATGTATTTAGTGAGGTTTTTTTCTGGTTTCTTTTGTCATTTATTTCCAGTTTCATTGCACTGTGATCAGATAATATGGATGGGATAATTTCTGTCTTCTTACGTATAGTAAAGCATGACGTATGGACCAGTATGTGGTTTATTTTAGAAAATGACCCATGGGTAGCTGAGAAAAATGTGTATTCAGCTTTGTTTGGGTGGAACACTCTGTATATGTCCACCAAGTCCATTTGTTTCAAGCTCTGACTCAGTTCTGTTATTTCTTTGCTAATTTTTTGTCTGGTTGACCTATCTTTTTGGGATAAGGGGTTGTTAAGGTCTCCTGTTAAGATTGTGATATTGGATATTAGATCTTTCACGTCAATTAAGATTTGCTTTATATAGTTAGGTGCTCCCATGTTTGGTGCATACATATTTTAGAGTGTTACCTCTTCCTCTGGAATTTTCCCCTAACCAGTATATAGTGGCCTTCTTTATTTCGCTTGATCATTGTTGGTTTGAAGTTGAGACTGTCTGAAAATAGGATTGCTACCCCTGCTTTTTTCTGAGGTGCGGGTGCATGTAGTATTGTTTTCCATCCTTTAACTTTCAGCCAATGAATGTCTTTATGAGTTCAATGTGTTTCATGTATACAGCATATTGATGTATTTTGTTTCCTAATCCACTGTGCCAGTCTATTTCTCTTAATTGGTGAATTGAATCCATTTACATTAATGGTTACAATTAAGATGAATTGACTTATGATTGGCATATTGTTCACCTCTTGTTTTTTGGGGGTTTTTTGTTTTGTTTTGTTTTGCTTTGTTTTGCAAAGAGAGCAAGTTTATTTGGTGACTGCTGATGGCACACATCATCCAAGGGACCAGGTGGAAAAGGTGCTGTGGCAAGGGAACCTAGAAGCCTCTGGGACCACATACAAATCTCTCAACAGGCAAGGCACAGGTTCTGGGGAGTTGGAATGTCCTCAGCCATTCAGCACCATCCGGACAAGTACTTCCTCATGCCCTGCCACCAGCATCTCCACTTCTTCCTCTGTCATCTTCTCACCCAGTGTGACTAGGACATGCCGGATTTCAGCACCCATGACAGTACCATTCCCTTCTTTATCAAACACTCGAAGGCCTACAACGTAGTCCTCATAGGTTCCCTGGTCCTTGTTCTTGGCCACAGTCTGCAGCATGGGCAGAAAGTGCTCAAAGTCCAAAACCTTCACATTCATCCCATCACTCTTGGGGGTCCCCAGAACCTTGAGCACCTCAGTGTTGGTGGGGTTCTGGCCCAGGGCCCTCATCATGTCCCCACACTGACTGTACAGGATCTTGCCATCACCTGTTCTGTCAAACAACTGGAACGCCTCCTTGAACTCTGCTGTCTGGTCCTCAGTGAAGTCACACATCTTGACTGCTGAGCTCTGCTGGACCTGCAGTAATCTGTTCACCTCTTGTTGTTACTCTTTTTTCTCCTGTGCTTTATTGTTTGCCCTATTTAGTTGGTTGCTTCTGATATCCTTCTTGGAGTTCTGTTCATTTTGGTCCCTCTCTAGAACATGTTTCAGTAATCTGGGTAGGGCTGTCTTTGTCATCATGGAATTCTTTAGTTGCTCTTTGTCATGAAAGTATTTCACTTCTCCATCAAACCTGACAGAGAGTTTTGCAGGGTATAGTAGTCTGGGATAGAATTTGTTTTCATAGAGGACTTGAAGTACTCTGCTCCATACTCTTCTTGCCTGCATGGTTTGTGAATAAAGTCAGCCATAATTCTGATGGGCTTTCTTTTGAATGTGATCTGATTCTTTTCTCTAGCAGTTTTCAGTATATTATTCTTGTGCTGGATTTCTGGGATCTTGACTATTATATGTCTCAGTGTGTTTTTCACTGGGTTGAGGTTACTTGGCATTCTGTATGCTTCAGTTACCTGAATGTCAGATTGTTTCCTCATATTTGGGAAGTTTTCTGCTATTACTTCTGCCCATATTTTTAATGTCCTTTATATTGACTCCTTCTTTCTCATTGATACCTATTAGTCTGACATTGTTCATCTTTGCATCATCTTGCAGTTGATGAATTATTTCTTCCTGCATCCTAGTTGTTTTTAAGACATCTTTTCTTATCTTTTCACTAGCTGCACCAGCATCTTCAAGATCTGAAATTCTGTCTTCACTTTCACTCAAATGGTTTTGCAAACTTGTGATTGAGATTTTAAGTTCCTCTATATCTCTTTGACTCTGCTTCATATTTTCTATTTCTTTCCTGTATTGCTCATTCAAGGAATCCATCATTTTTCTAATCTCTTCTATTTCTTAGCAATGTCTTCTTTAAAAGCAGTTATTAATTCTTTTGAAGAGTGTTTTTCAGATTGGGTTTGCTCCCTATGTTTCTTACTTAATTCTTTACTTCAGATGCTATAAGTTCAGAGAATTTCTTTTTTATTTCAGAAAATAATTGCACTCTGAATTCCTCTATGACTTTCTGCTGTTGCTTATTTACTTTTGATGCTATTAATTCATACATTTGAGCTGAGCTTGTGTCCTCTGCATTTGTTCTGGGTGGGCATTTGGTTTCCTCCATATGTTTCTGCCTTTGATTCTTTACTGCAGATGCTATTAATTCAGGAATTTCTTCTTTAATTTCCAATCTGAGTTCCTCTATACATTTCCACAGTTGTTTCTTTATTTCAGACGCTGTTGATTCATTGATTTGAACTGTGTTATTCCCAATTTGTTCTGTGTTAGTGTCCTCTGCACTTGTTATGGGTTGGCTTGGGGTCTGAGATTGCACTTTGCTCCTTCTCATTGTCATTTTGTATAGCACTGTCTTCTGACCTTTGTTGTAGAGCTTTGGTGCAGTTATAACCTTAGCACCTACTGAAATTAAGGTGCAGATCTACAAAGTTTGAAGTTATCCATCTATGCCTGTCTTGGTTCTGGCTGCTGTGCTCAGATCCTTCCTGCTGCATCCCTTGGGAGTGAATCTGTTGTGCCTCTCCTGCAAGATGTTCTGCTCCGGACTAGCTGGGTGGTTCCATCTCCTACTCTCTCTGCAGGGACTGCTGCTGCAGTTTCACCCCAGGCCTGTATGCCAGGCCTGAGCTGAGTCTGAAGAGGACAAGGTGGAGTAGCGGGGAGAGGAAGCTCTCCCACACACTCACTTGGTCTGGGCCAGGGCTGGATCTGGGGACACCAAGAATGCAGCAGAAGTTCTCACTCACCGGGCGGGAGTGGGGGGGACCGCGGAATGGTGGGGGTCCCAAGGGGTGGAAGAAGGTCTCACCCACGCTGCGCATGGGCTTGGACCAGACAGATCTTGTGAGTGCAGGGTAGCCGGAAACTTTCCCATACACTCACCAGGCCTAAGCTAGGGCTGGATCTGGGGGTCCCGAGAGCGCGGCAGAAGTTATCACTGGGCGGGCAGGGAGGGAAGGGCTGCAGTGTGGTGGTGGGGGTCCCAAGGGGATGGAAGAGGGTCTCACCCACACTGCACCTGAGCTTGGACCAGACAGGTCCCCCCTGGCGCTGGATAGCCAAAAGGTCTCCCACACACTCACTGGGTCTGGGCTAGCGCTGGATCTGGTGGTCCCTAAAAGACGGCAGAAGTTCTCCTAATTTTTCTGTGTTAATACTATTTTGCTCTCTCTTTAAAACATGAGAAGATTTTTTAAAATCACATTTATATGCAGCATTATGAAGTAATATGTGAAGGTATGATCAAAAACTATGATGAATGTTTGAATTTATCAATTTAGTATGTGAGGCCCATTGCAATTAATCTCCCTCAAAATACTCCCCCTTCCTTTGAACACTTGTATTACATCTTCTTGCCACTTCCTGAAAGAGTTAGGAAGTCCTCTTTCGGGAGTGTCTTTACTTGGGCCATCATGGCTGCCTCAATTAAAATCATTTAAAGATATCTTCCTTTCATTGTCATTTTGATTTGAGGAAGAACCAAAAATCACACGGTGCCAGATTAGTGAAGGTGCATGAGGACACACTGGAATGTTTTTATGAGGCTGCCTTTCTGTTGGGTGGCACTTGGCAGCAACGTTCACAGTTTTTATCACACATTATAAGGATATTCACTAGAAAGGATTTCCAGCAGTGCTACAGAAAGTGACAAGAGGCCAGCCAGATAGCTCAGCAGACTAAAGCACCTCAGGGACCAGGTTTAATCCCCAGCCAGCCGCACTGGCCCCACTGCCAGGGGATGCCAAAAGAGTAATTGAGACTGGGCATGGTGGTGTGCACCTGTAATCCCAGCGCTTGGGAGGCTGAAAACAGGAGGATAACCACGAGTCCAATCTGTATGGTAAGACCCTGTAGACCCTGTAGCACCTGTATTAAACACATAAAAATAAATAAATAAATAATTTTAAAAAAGAAAGTGACAAGAACAATATGGGGTGTTCAGATGGGGGTGGTATATTGGGGCTTAGTTACTAGAAATATGTCTTTTATTGAAATAAATTGGTTTACATTTAAACATCCAGTATATATTTTGATTGTCTTTTATATACGTCCCAGTTTTATGGACCCTTTGAGGAGCTGTCCACCCATGTTCCTGCTGCGCACGCCCACGCACACTGTGTGGTATACCATGACTCAATCATTGCAACTGCTGTGTAGAATTCCAGCTCCTGATCACAACACTGTTGGCATGTCCTCCGCATGCTAGTCACTTTGGCAGCTTTCAGCCTGGCCCTTGTGAACCATGCGGCTGCACACCCTCACGTGCAACTTCTGGCACGCACGTGGAAGATGCAAGAGGTTTTTATAGGTACAGATTAAACTCTCCTCAAGTGCTGCTCCTCAAGTGACTGTATAGCTAAGCTGAAAAGCACAAGATGCTGGCAGAGTACGCTGTCTTCAACACATGGTGTTGCCAGACTTCTGAGTGTTTGCTGTCCCAGTGGGGACAGCTTACATTTGTGACTATTGTTTCCCTGGTAACTAGTAAACTCAAGCATCTCCCTTTGGTGTGCATGCTCTGTAAATCACCTGTGTGTGCCTTTTGCCATTTTTACTAAATTGCTCACACTCTTCTTCTCAGTGCGAGTATAATGAACCTATTCTTGATGTGAATGCCTTGTTGGTTGTATCTCCTTCAAGTTTCCTTTCCTAGTTTGTAATGTATTCTCTGGTTTTCCTTAAGATGTGCTTTGACAATGGAAAGCTTTAATTCTGTGATTGTCCTATTTATCAATCTTTCTGTGATTTATTCTATTTGTATTTTCTTTAGGAAATCCCTCTCTCTCCAAATCATACAGAAATTCTATTTTGTTTCCTATTAAAAGCTCTTCAGTTTATCTCTTGGCTTTTATTTATATCCTTGATCCTGGAGTTGATTTTGATGGATGGCATATTCTTATTACTTAAACAGTCCTTCCCTTACTAGAATTCTAGGTTATTTTGGATAAACACTAGGTCTCAGATAGGCTCCCCAAAGGCCTTGGGGGTACACCTTCTCCAGTGTGAAATCACATGGACTAACAAGAGCCAGAGCTGGAATGGAGGCTGACACAGTCTTATTACTTAATGAGACCTTCACCCACCTGCTCCTAGGGTCAAGTGAAAGGAAACCTGAGGCGCAGCCTAGGGAGGCAGGTGTGATACACCTCTAGCATACACAGCTCCAAGTGTCACTAGGGAACACAAGGGCCTGATCAGAGCCAAGGGAGAAGCAGGTGGCGAGGCCTCAACCTGGCCCAGAGCCCCCAGCCACATGGGGATTAGCGCTTTATGGCAGGTGTTGCTGAGGACCCTCCTGGCTCCACGCCGCCTCCACAGAGTAGAAATGGAATGCTCAGCTTGAATAGTGGCTTTCTCAGGAGAATCTATAAGAAATGCAAGAGGATTTTAAGCCATCGTAACCATGGTGATTGCTACATGAAACACTGGGGGACATTTAGCAAAGAATGACTTAATTTTTTCTTAGCCTCTAAGCCACCTTCCAATCCACGCCCCTCAGATGGGCTAACTCTGTTTTTCAAGCTAACCCTGGGTTGAGACCACAAGCCAGGACACCAGAGGACACTTCCTGTGTCCTGTGGCCCCATGTGGCCCAGACCCATCTAGCTCCAAAAGAAGGCATGGTACCCAGGAATGATTGGAACAAGGACTTCCAATGTCCTCTTAATCAATAGTCAACAGGAGATTTGGACAGCGGGGACCCTTGCCAAGAGGGGACCATCCTCCACCACCACCTGCATTGAAGACCTCTTCCAACATGGAGCTCCCTATTCATATAACACCTGTTCATCAGACACATTAATCCATGACTCATGGCAGATTCTCTGTCATTTATATCCTTCATTCATTCCTTCCTTCCTATTTTATTTATTCAAAACTAGCGATATCCTCCTCAGGACTTCTTAACAGATCTTGAGGGTCCCCATCCAGGGAAGGAGCCGGAG